AGGGCCGGCTCCAGGGCCTTGGTCCCAGGGAGGAGTTGCAAGCTGAGGCTGAGACTGAGGCTGGGAAGCAGGGACAGGGTCGGTGTGATGTCTGGGGGGCGGGAGCGGGGGTCCGGAAGCAGAGGCAGACTTGAGAAAGGAGAGTCACTCCCTCAGACGTCTGTCCTTGCAGAGGGGCGGGAGGGCCCGAGGCTTTCCCAGGTGCTGCTAGGACACCTGACACCTCCCAGGGGAGGACTCTGGTCCCCCTGCTCTGCCAGGGAGGCCAGGAGGCCTGGCTGAAACGTCTGTCCTGTGGACGCCCACTCTGCCCTCGGGCTGCCCCACACCGGGAGGTCCTGGGCCCGGAGGAAACGGCCTCCTCCAGGCTGTCCCCTGGGCTAGCGTGCCACCCACCAGGGTGTCCCAGAGACCCCAGATGGCAAGCAAACTAGCACACCTGAGACTTTGGCATCAGAGCCCGGCTCTGTCTGGCGCTGGTGTCTCCCCCACCACTCGGGTCTCACCGTGCACTCGCCTCGGAGGCTGGGAGTGCAGATGAGAAACGGTGTCGGGAGAGCCAAGGCCTTAGAGCAGACAGGATGGAGGTAAGACGTGGTTCCACTGCTTCCCAGCCGTGCGACCTCAGGCACGCGGCTCCCCCTCTTCAGCCTCTGTTTTCCCTTCTGCAAAATGGGGATAATAGCCACCTCAGATGGTGTGGTGAAGGTTAAATCTATACACGTGTGTGCACGTGTTCTGCATGTGTGTGCGTGCGTGTTGTATGTGTGCATGTGCACCAAGTCCTCCACCCTGTAGGGAATACCGGGCAGTGGCTGTCCCCTAGTGCACCAGGCGGTGTGTCTGCTCGGGCTCCCACCCGCCCCTCTCTCCCGGACAGCATGCGGGCCTGCGGTGCCACCTTGTGGCCAAGCCTAGCACTGCGCCTCCCCGGGCCTGCCCTCTCCGTGCCTGCCCAGAGCGGGGGTGGCCGCCTTGCTCGGAGGCTCCTGATTCATGGTTGTTGCCCCTGCATGTGTCAATAGCAACTCCTTTCACTCTCAAAACTGTCCCCTGTCCCAGATATTGGGGCTTCCTCATCTCCGGTCGGCTAGGAGGGCAGCTGTGCAGCTGCAAAGGCTTGTGGGTAAAGTGAGCCCAGCGGCCGCCACGGGCCGACCGGGCCCCCGGCTCCACGCCGCACCTGCCCTTCCTGCCAGCCCCGTGCCAGGCTGCATGGAGGGCGTCCGCCTCCCGCCGCTCTTCGCTGCAGGGCGTTCGTGCTGCAGCAGATTCCCCTCAGCAACCTCCTCCTCCTGGTGACGGACCCCACCTGCGCCTGCAGCGTCTTCCCACCCGTCTTGCAGGAGGCCACAGAAGTCAAATATATCCTCCCAGCCTCGGGGACACGGGAGCACAGGAGGGCAGAGGGGTGGGACACGTCGCCAAGGGGCCAGCCTCCCTTGCCACCAACTCCCCGCTCTCCCCACCCAGCAGGGTTGTCGTCTGCTCCCCGATCCGCCTGGGCCCTGGCGCTGCCTCCTGCCCAGACGCTGCTTAGCGAGGCAGCCGGTCCCACCAGGGGTCAGGTCTTCAGCCTGGGTCCCCCAGAGCCTCCAGAATCGGTTCCATCAAGTGTGTTCACCTTAACAGTGAACTCTGCACATAACGCCTCTGTCAAGTGTGAGAGGATGCGCTCCCAGAAGCTCCGCCGGCGCCCGGATACCTGCCACGCCTTCCATCCAGAGGTGGGGGCCGGGGTGGCTTCCACCCCCACACCCTCAGCCCTGAGCCTGTGCCCTTCAGGCACACGGATGGGTGCAGGTGTCTGGGGCATCTCCGTGGGTGACTCCGTGGTGTCATCCACCCGTGTGCACTCACATTGGGCTCCGTGTCATGCATGCAGTAAGTCGGCAGGACCCAAGGGTGCTTGTATAAGGGGAGCCACGTCTCCCAGGGTCCCGGCCCTCAGTGAGTTAAAATGCAGCTTCCCCACTGTCCTCACTGCACTTGGGCCCGAGCAAGGAAGAAACCATCACACGCGTGATACTGCTGGTGACCAGCCCTACGTACCCACCGCGTAGCTGGGTGCCGCCTCCGTGATGCGTCCTCGCTGGACGCGGCTGCCACACTTCACACTCATGCGAGATGCTCTGAGTCCAGAGCTTCCCAGAAGTCTTACTAAGACAAGCGCCCACAGCCACTCCAGGGCTGCAGGCCCGCGGACGAGGCTCGAGCCCAGCTCCGGGCTGAGTGGCCTCTACGCTCCCCTGGACAGCAGGGATCTAAGGTTGCAGGGTTTCCTCCACCTGTGGGAACTCCCCTCTCTCCCAGGTCTTGGCCCCTGTGTGTCCCAGAGACCCCCTCCCTACTGTCCTCCTCCTGCCTGGGGCGGTCACCTCATCTGGAATGTTCTGGGTTCGCAGGAGAATGCCCAGGACTGCGGCGGCACCTCAGACATCTCGGCCTCGCCCTCCCTGCTCCTGCTGCCTCTGTGTGCCTGGCTGCTGCCGCCCCAGCTGCTGCGGTGACAACTGCCCGGTCTGACCCGTTGTGACAAGGTGGTCCTTTCAGAGACATTCTAAAGAGTCAGCAGGTGTGGGCTCCAGCTCTCGGCAGTTGGGTTCTCGCCAGTCATTGCTCATCCCAGTCTTGGGCTGATGGTCCCTGCCTCCTGGGATTGCTGGACAGAACTGGACATCACTTCCCACAGACCTTCCAGGGTGTCTGGTCCATCACCCCAAGTCTCAATGGGCATCCTGCCCTGTGTCCTGCCTCCTCTTTGGGAGCCTGCCACGAACTCACCTTGGACCGAGACGAAAAGGTTTAGTTGCATCCATTTGGCACTTAAGCTCCAGAAGCCCAGGCCTGGCCGAAGGACGCTGCAGCTGTTTCTAATGAATCTGGTTCGTTAGAGTAGACCTGAGTAGACTCCAGGACTTCAAGGTTCTGAGACGGAGCAGCAGAGTGAAGCCACCAGCAGAGAGGGCAGGAGGGGAGAAGTGCCCACTGGAAGCCGTTTCCCCAGAGGGAGGTGTGCGGGGCGGGGGCAGCTCAGTCTCCTAGCTGCAGGTCAGAAAAGTGTGTGTGTGTGTGAGTGAGAGAGGTAGAAAAGGCAGGGTCTTTTGTATTAATAGTGGTTGCATATGATGTCCACAAACTGTTGCTATTAAAAAAAAATTGAAGAACATCTTTGCAAAGCCCTAACCTAAGGGAATGTTGCATTGTAGAAAGCCCGTAGGGTGAGATGCAGGCTGCCTTCGATTGGAAGAGGGTGTGGTTTCTGGGGCGGCGGTGGGAGCGGCTGCAGCCCCGCAGCAAGGCCCTGGGAAGGAGCAGGCAGGCCTTCGGGGCTCCTGAGGGCTGGCTCCAGACCCCTCCCCTGGAGGCCCAGGCCCCATGGTGGGGTTGGGGGGAGGTGCCGCCTTCTGGCTGTTCGTCTGCAGGAGAGACCACCTGACTCTCCCTGGGGCCACGGGGAAGGGAGCTGCGCCGGCACTCCTCCCCCAGGGTCTCGGCCGCAGCGCCCTCTGCCCGACCCCGCAGACCTGGCTCCTGAGAGGCTGCAGCCTCGGGGCAGAGCAACGTGAGAAGCAGAACTGCAGAAACGCTTGGTGGCCTCTGAGCTCTGAGTTGAGCTAACCTCCCAGGAGGAGGTCCAGCCCGGCCCCACGAGGGGCATGGCCAGCACAAGGCCTCGGGGGCCTCCCCACCTCCTTAGAACACGTCGCGATCTTTGTCATGAGCCTTCCGTGTCCAGGTCAGGGTTACTTTCATTGCTTTCCTGTCTGTGAGGAACCCCGTTCACAGCTGAACCCAAGCCTCGGGGAGAAGAGCAGGCCCGGGGCCCACTGGGCCAGTGGAGGGGCGGGATGACGCCGGCAGGAGCTCAGTGTGACACGGAGACAACAGGCACGTTGCGAAGCCCTCTGGAGCAGGTGCGCTGTCAGCCCCGTGGCACAGACCAGGAGACCAAAGCGTGGGGTTAAACTGGCTCCGGGTGGGTGGATGAGCATCGTGAGGTTCGAAGGTGACGCTCGTGTCGCGAGCCTACAGCTGCCCAGCTGCGAGCTGCAGGCACTGACCACACTGCCGTCTGTCCCAGCGCCCATCCTCTGGAGGAGGGGACGGAGGAGCCCGTTTGGATGCCAGAGAGCAGGCAGAGGTCACAGAGCCCCCAGGCACCGGGAGCCTTTCTCCCGCCCCCTGGCTGTGGCCGCTGCCCTGCCCCTCACTGCTGGGCCCACGCCACCCCGCACTTCTGGGGCATCATTGTCCAGATGGCGACTGCTGGTCTCCTTGGGACAGCAGCCCAGTCCCCCACCCAAGCAGGGAGCGCGTCTCCAAGTTCTCAGCTGTCACGGCCCCGTAACTGAACCACCAAGCTTGGAAAGTGCCGAGGCAGCCCCCAGCCTCTCCCTCTGCGGGGCCGGGAGGGGGCTGAGGCTGGACTCCCTCTCAGAGCCAGGGAGGGAGGCAGCTTCTGGTGAACTGCTCTCACCTGGGAGAACAGGGCGTGCTGGGCTTTGCCTTCGGAGTCAGGACCGGCTCCCTCTTCCTACTTCGGGGGAAAGACAGCAGGTGGCAGCCTGGCCCCAGCAGGAGAGCCGTGACCTTGACTGCAGAGACACCGTGGAGTCAAGGGGACCAGAGTCCCGAAGCCCCTTCTGTAAACACTGTCGCCTTTGGACGACCGAGAACACCCGGCACAGAACAGAGGACTGCTGAGCCCGCTGCCTGGCCACCTGGGTGTTTTAGCGGCAGCACCGTCAGGTAGACGTCCACGCGGGGCTGTGGTTCCCAGGGCAGAGGGTAGAGGTGGGGAGGGAGGGAGGGAGGGAGCAGAGCCGGGGGCTGGGCCTGTCTGAGGAAGGTGACCTGCCAGCCACAGCGTCTCCCTGAAGGAGGCTGAGGGTGTTTTCTGGTGGGGGGGGCTGGGTCACGAGTGCCTCTCGCCCGCATCCCCTGCCCCTGGCAGGCCTGGGCACTGTCCCCCGGCCAGGGCAGCAGTGAGGGGCTCGCCTTCCCCTCGCCTCGCTGGCAGGACCCGGTGGTGTGGGTGGCCTGCGCTCTGACTGGGCAGGATGTGCTGGGGACCACAAATTCTTCTCAGGGGATTCCAAAGCCAGGCCCGGGTTCAAACTCGCCCTTGTCTGCTTCCCTCCCAACATCCAAGGACATCCCGTGAGAAGGGGGCACAGAGACCACCAGGCAGAGACCAGGGAAACCACGGAAGGCGAGCCGGGGCCCATCCCCAGGTAACACGCAAAGCCCACAGTTGTGTGTAAAATGAGCAAGCTACAAGCCGGAAATTTCCCTGCAAAAACTAGGCCACCTGTGGCAAGGGCTGGGGCTGCCTCCTCTTCACTGACATGGAAGGGTCCACACCCCTCCCAGAACCTTCCAGTCAGTACGCGGAGCCCACCCAATCTGAATCTTTGTCTCAAGGATGCAGTGCCGCGCAGGGTGCCCACCTCCCGGGCTGTCTCCTCCCCTAGGAAACAGCAGTAGCACAGGTCCAGCCCTGGGACGCCCGCCACAGGGCCCGAGGCAGCAGGAGCCTGGACGTGCCCCCGTGTGACCAGCTGTGACTTCTGTGGCCGTCAGCGCTGCCCCTTACAGCTGCACCCCCCTCCCCGTTCTGCACCTGGGACCCCAGTTATGATGGGAGCAGGAAGCTGGGGGAAGGTGAGGTGGGCGTGAGCACTGACTTAACTGCCCATCTTCATGCATTCTCCTGCCAGCCCTTAAAACTCATCAGGAAGATTAAACAGAAGCGCAAAGTAGACAAACGGTTAAGACTATCTTACTAGATGATCTTACCAATCAAAAGTGTCAGAACACACTTTCAACCAAGAGTACACGAGAGGCCTTTCAACAACCTGGCAGCCCGGAGCCCCCACTGCCCCCAAGGGTCCGCAGATAGCTGGTTCAGTATAGAAACAAGCCCAGTGCCCAGAGCGCTGGCTCTGGGAGCAACTCCCCAGGTCTTCACCTGTCAGTCCATGGAGAGCTTTTACAGAGCGGCCTCCACACTCACACTGGATGTTTCCAAGCAGCTCAAGCTTCAGCGTCTACATTAAAGCTGCAGCGAGGAAAGCTGAGGCAGGACAGAAACACACAGGCTCGTGTTCCGCTGGGGTCTTTTTATTAGACGTTGAGAACACAGCAGGCGGGAACGCCCACGGCGCGTGGGACCGTCACACAAACGCCTTCCTGGAGCCCCAACCTTCAGTGACCCCCAAAGGGTGCTTTGTGGCTTTAACCATTTATAAAGGGGGAGGGGGAATACTGAAAAGGCCACTCCTCAAGGGTGAAGGGAGGCAGCTGCAGAGGTCCTAACCAGCCGAGGGCCCAGGAAGAAAACTAACTGCAGAGCACGCAGGCCCCGCTGCTGAGAGTAAGGCATCCAGGCGCCGGCCTGGGGGTCCTCAGCGGGCACGGCGGGGCGCGGGCGTGCGGCAACGCCACACACACTCCCCGGGGGAGCTGGTCACTGGTTACGTCTCGGGGTCAATTCCATGTTTCTAAGGGTTTGTGCTGTGTTGAACCAGGTCAGCTCCTGCTTGGGGGTGTGGGGCGACCGGCTTGGCAGCGGCACAGACGTCAGAGGGCGGCTCGTCATGTACCCTGTGTCCCAGACCGAGACTCGAGAGCGAGCCTGGCTTCGGATGTGTGCTGCTGCGCCCGCGGAACGTCCTTCCACGTGGCCACCATCCTGCTGGACCGTTTCCCGCAAAGGGTTGCAGTAATACTGTTCTCTCTCCCGGGCAGGGCACCAGCTCGCCCACGAAGCCTCTCACTGGGCCCACCCAGCACCCAGGGCGGTGACCGTCTTCAGGGCTAAACATGCTGGACCTCCTCCCAAGTTCTACAACGGGTTCTTTCTTCCTGGCTCCCAGCTTTTGATTTGAACTTGGAAGGGGCTAGAAAGGAGAAATACCGCCCAGGAAAACCCCACACCGAACCATCAGACCCTTCTCGTGTCCCCAAACAGCCATCTGAGGACGCCGCCCGCCACGCTCAGGGCCTCAGTGCTTCCGTCTCGCACCCACCACCCCGGGCTGTGGCTCGGTCGCCTGGAGTCGTGGCTGAGTGAGTGACCTGATCGGGCGATTCTGGCGGTCCACCTGTGAGTGGTAAGAGTTCCGTGAACCAGGGCCTCCCCTGCCACTCTGACCTCTTAACAGGGTGCCTCTGAGCCACGAGCAGTGTTTTCTTACTTCGATCCGCTCTTAAGAGACGCACCTTCACGGGTCCTACCAGACTCCCAGGCAGTAACACAGCATCTCCTCTTAAAACTTCCCACCACACTGTCTAGGGCTGAAAATGGGGACCTGGGCGTGCTGGTGACTCCAGGGTGGGTGCTGGGCTCGTTTCTAAGGATGGAGTGCCGAGGCACCGGCTGTCACCCAGGTTCTCCCCGCCCACGTAAGCGAGTCGGGAAGCACCTGGGCCTGTCACAACCCCTCCTGTGACTGGCTCCCTGCCGGGAACCATGATGCCAAGGAAAGGTCCATTTTTATTTCCAGGAGGCACAAGGGGAGCTGGGCAGTGACGTGAACAAAGGGAAACCGAGAGGGTGTTCTAGAGCTCCACAGCAAAGATACGGAAAGCCATCGCCCCCGCCCGCCCCCTGCAGCCAAACAAAGTCAACACAAAGTTGAAGAGGACGCCAGGAGGGAACGAGGTGGGCCCATGCCGACAGCCCCACACTCCTTCCTCCGCTGGCCCCAACACCCTCTGCCGGCACGAGTGAGTTTCCTAAGCAGGTGGCTCTGCTCCTCAGAAAGGGCCACAGAGTAGAAAGCAGGCCAGGCTCTCTGACACAGGGTGAGCGGCCCCGTGAGCGCCGGGCTGCGCGCCCTGCCCCACCAGGGCCCAAGGCCTGCCGGCCTTCGGAAGGCACCTTGGTGCACGAGGTGTACATTCTGGGGCTGTCACCTGACCACCTTACAGTCACTTGTGCAAAATGGAAACAGTGTGTGGTACTTGCATGTTTCATTCTATACAAAAATTCTCCCTCCCTCCCCTACCCCTATGTCTTACACATTTATATAAATTTTTATTTGAACAGTAAGTTAGAAATCTTATTTACATTAATTTCTTAGTTCCCCCAAAAGAACGTCTAAAATCACAGTCCCACCCCTTAACAGAATATAAATGTTCACCGAAACTGGTCTGTATCATTGTCTGAAGGTGGGAGGGGAGAATGGACCTCCAGCCACGCCGTCCACAAAGAGCAGGCTGCGGCTCCGAAGCCAGCGAGCCCGGTCCGGCAGCGCCCCGGAGCGGCAGGCCCCAAGAACAAGTCAGGGCTGGGCCGTCTCTCCTCTTCTCCACCCTGTGAGGGATTTATTTTTGTTTTCTCTTCCCAGTCGCGGCCCACGCGGAGCCCTGGGGCGTCCCAAAGCCCACGATGCGGCTGAGTCGGCGCTCCTCTGGCTCTGGCGCCAAAGGCCGGGGAGGGAGACCTCCAGGCGCCGCCGGCACTGGTTCAGGGTCACAGTCCCTGGCCACTGGCAGGTGTCACAGTGCGTCCTCATCACTGCAGCCTCCGCCAATCATGAAACGGAACTCCTGGAGGTTTGAGACACCGTGGAAGTGAACAAAAGCGCCAGCAACCACGAAGATATGAAACAGCTGATGAGAGTGAAACTGGAGGGAAAAAAGGGGGGTGAGGACACAGACATTACTAAAGGTCGGCTGAAGACTCCAAGCGGTTCATGCTGAGCAGGGGGCACAAGCGGATGTGACGGAGCTCAAACACGAGGCACCCGCAGATCATGGAACATCTGTTAGGCATATCCCATACTGCTGTCCCCTCAGAAACCATGCTGTGGCTGGAAGCCTGAGACATGAGCATGTGCACACGGGATGCTGGAGGACCCAGCGGAGCGGGGCCGGCGCAACCCACAGCCCGGAACCCCAAGGACCCATGATGCCTGCAGGGGTGACAGACACAGGGCGTCTCCTCTCGGCCGTCGTGGACCAGAGCACTAGGACCACCCACGTCACGGACACACCGCTCTCCTAGGGGGGAGCAGAGGGGTCCCCAGGATGGCTGGAGGGTCAAGACATCGGGCAGCTAGTTTCCTTCGCTCCAAGGCACAGCGTTCCATAAACAAGACACGCCGTCAGGAGGGCAGGACAGCAGGGCCTCTGCTTCCTCCTCGAGTCAGAGGCCGGCCGACACACGTGGCCAACAGGGGTGCGTGTGGTGCTTCCGAACCGACTCGTTCTGCTGAGCGCCAGGGCTCAGTGCACCAAACGGCTCTTCAGCCCTCCCCTTACAGCCTCCAAATGGAAAAGCACGGTGGCAGAACCACTCGGGGCAAGACTGACTTTAAAAGTGTGAACGAGAGGGATCCATAGTCACATCCCAAGAGAGACTTCCTTGGAGAACAAAGGGGATTTATTTTCCCAAAAAAAAGGGGGGGGTGAGAGAAATTTCTCCTTATCAATGTCAAAATTGATGAGGCAATCTCAGAAGATAAATGGGACTGTCTGCAGTTTCAAAGATGGCCCGAGTGTTCTCTTTACTTCAAGTAGCCAGACTAATCAGCTTAATCTGTAAGCGGCAGTAACTGTCTGAGGACCGGAGGCCAGGACAGGCCCCGTCGCAAACCACACTGCACGTGTCCAGCCGTCTGCAGGTACAGGACGTCTGTGTCCTGGTCCTGAGGATTATCCTCCCTGCCTCACCATGAGCCACCATCTAGCTCTCCCACCAAACACAGGGAGAAGTCTCTCATTATATCACTGAATTTCGGTGTTAAAAGGACCTTGGTAAAAATCTGCTGCCTTCAGCTCCTCCACGAGGAAGCCCAGACAGAAGGACTAGCTGTGTGAGCACAGGACGGGGGCCCAGACTCTGAAATTCCACTCCTGCCACCACCCGCTGGGACGTGGGCACTGCATCTTCCCGAGAATGGGAAACCCCGAGAGCAGTGGCTTAGGTGACCCATGCAAGGTGCCCCCTCAGCCTGCCAGGCACTGGTGAGGTCAGCCACTACTGCACTGAGCGGCTGGAGACACATTCAGGAGGAGGAGGGAGGCTGGGATACAGATCTCGTGATGTTGAGTCTAAACAGTTTTGATGGTTTCACCTTCCAGTCTGCCAGTGACCCACTAAGAGAAGGCCAGACGCACAGAAAGCGCCCGACCACACTCACCCAGATGTCACACTTGCCGGGAAAGAAGCGCTCGGGGATGCGGGCAGCGTACAGGGCCGCCCCCGTGATGTACAGGCCGGCCATGAGCATCAGCCAGCCGATCTGCCCGATGGTAGCAGCCTTCAGGACCCCCTCTGCAATGACGTAGTGCAAGGTAGGGATGACTCCGCTCAGGCCAAGGCCCAGAAACACTCCTGCGGATCATCAGAGAAGAGCGCAGTGAAGACGCAGAAGAGAGAGGAGGGACCGCAGCCCCGCACCAGTGCCTGTGAACTCAGTATACTGCAACAGCAGCTTCCTGTCTGGAAGGACAAAGACGGTTCCGGCTCTGGGATTCTGCCCTGCAGACAGTACAGCGAGGCCCTAAAAGAGACCTGGTGACAAACGCACAGCGCCTCCTGCTGAGAAAGGCTGTCTCACAGGGCAGCGGTCTGCACGGGGGTGGTGTCTGGAATCACGTGGCTGAGCCTTTAGGAATCAGCTCTAGGAGTTTGCTTCAGTCACTCCTAAATGCTGCTTCCTCAGACAACGAACGTGTAAAAGGGCTCTGAATGCAATCCTCCCCTTGACACCACTGACATTTGGGGGGTGGGAGGATGGGAAGTGCTACTGGAAGTTCCTATGGCCTGCAGAGAGGGACCTGGCGTGGCTTTCCCACCTCCCACGGCCCCCCATGTGTTCCCGCCTCCTCCTCTTATCCCGTCCGTCCCAACGAGAGGGATCTGGGTGCGGGCTTCCGGCCTCCCACACGGCCTGGCGTCAGGGGACTGACTGCGCTGCGCTTGGGCCAGCGGACCCAGTCTGGCTCCGTAACACTGGGAGCCACCCCTGCCCACTGCTCACGGGCTCACAGAAAGGGGAGAGGAGAGTCACAACAGTGTCGCGGACATGAAGTTAATTCTAACTTCTAGGTAACCGCAGATTAACCATGGCTTGGGTTTTAGTACAAAACGGTTCAAAACAAAAAGGCTGAAAGGAGAAGTACTCCTTTTAATACTTCCTGTTCAACCTCAGTGAACACTAGGTTTGACACTGGGCAGAAAACTGAAGACACAGCCCTGGCTCCAAGTAGACAGTCCCCAGTCCAGGTGCTCACTCAGAAAGGACTCAGCCAGGAGGGCCCAGCCAAGGCACCGGGGGCTTTTCACTTTCCACTGATCGCCTCTCAACAGGCATTAATCACCCCGAATATGAAAAGCCTCTTTATGCCTACACGGTGCCCGTCGGTCTGGAACACGATCAGGTGGCACTGCAGTCCTCTCCACACACTTTAACATGAAAACACGTAACAGAACAAAAAATGACAACAACAAAAGAACTGATCGCTACAGAAAGTATACACAAGCTGAGGACTCATCATTTTCCAAAGATTTCGGAGCCGCAGCCACGTGGACAGCATGTGGCCCTAGCCTCAGTCAGCATGAGCCCCCCAGCCCGGAGCCCCTCCGCCGGAAGGCTGTGAGCTGACGCGGGGGCACTACGACCATGTCAAAGCCCCACGACAACAGAAACGACTTTTTTTTAACTGTTGAAACGGGAGGTAATTAAGTTTTATTTTCAATTTTTAATGGAGGTACCGGGAATTGAACCCAGGACCCTGTGCATGCTAAACACACACTCTCGCCACTGAGCGATACCCTCCCCCAACCCCGACTTCATTTTTGCATCACGGGTACCTGGCGTGATGCTTGGCAAGCGGTGCACCTTTCATGAAGACTGGCCGGGGAGTGAGAGTCCAGCAGAACGCCCGGTCCTGCTCTTACCTGCTCTGACTCCCCGATACTGAGGGGTGGCGAACATGTCCCACTGGGAGACGATGATGGCTGCGATGCCCAGCACGCAGATGACGATCAAGTAGATGAAGCAAGGTTGCGGGTTACAGTAGAAAGAGTAATAAAGCCAAGGGACAAAGCTGCCCATGATCAGGAGGGCGATGCCGGAGTAATCCAGTCTAGGGCAGGAAAAAGAACCCCTCACGTTAAAAGGCCTGCCCGCCCGCACAGGGCCCCCCGGAGTCCCCGGCAGGCAGCACCCAGGACGGCCA